CCCTAAAACCCTACACCCGAAACCTTAAACCCTAAACTCTAAACCCTAAACCCTCAACCCCCTAAACCCTCAAATTCGGAACTTCTCGCGTCTGCCACCAAGGCCGCAGGAAGGGGCTGCCTTCTGAAGCTGGTGGCTCAGGTCGGTGCAGTCGTGCCAGTTGACCTCTGAAAGGGCTCTGGGCTTATTTTTGGGGTTGTTAGGGTTTAGGGTTTAGGGTTTCGGGTTTAGGGTTTAAGTACAGTCGTGCCAGTTGACCTCGGAAAGGGGTCTAAGACTACGATGGGATATAGCCTAAACTACCCTAAACCCTATAGGCTAACAGGGGTCCTAAACCCTAAACCGGTACAGTCGTGCCAGTTGACCTCTGCAAGGGATCTACGATGGGATATAATGTAGGGGCCTGAATAATTAGAATAGGGTTTTGGGGCCCATTATACTGTAATTTTTGTTTATAAGGAACCTCCAAAATAATAGAGGTAATTTTTAAAACCCCTATATTAGCTTAAACCCTCAACGGTATAGGCTAACAGGGGTGTAATGGCTTAGGGTGTGGCAGCCCGGGCCGGAATCGAACTACACTGCGTTCGGTTTAGGGTTTAGGGTTTAGGGCTTGGGGTTTGGAGTTTAGGGTTTAGGGTTTAGGGTTTAGGGTCACTAGAAACATGCAATCATGTCGCAATCACTGGGGTTCAAAGCTCGCGTCTTCAGGCTTCAGAGTGTCAGAAGGGGTCATGCGTGGACATGTAATGCACGATCTTGAAGGGTTTGAAGGGATATCTGTTGAGGTCTATCTTTGCTTTGGGTCTGAGACGCCCCCTAAACCCTAAACCCTGAATTTACCCTAAACCCTAAACCGTGCCGGTTTCTAGTTTCGAAGCCTCCAAGCTGCTTTGTGAATACCGACCTCTCTCAGACTGCAGGGGCAGTTGGAACCCCAGGAGTTCAAGTACACCAAAAAGGAGGCTTAGGGTTTAGGGTTGTACTATTCGTACTGTACTCAAATCAAAACCATCCTGTGTGTTTTGGTTGGTTCAGCTGTCGAAGTCTTGGCGCTGGCGACTTTCTCGACAGGCGGATACAAGGATTAATAGATCGATGGATAAATCGGTTGATCGGTGGATAAATAGTGATGGACAAATAGATGGACAAACATATCGGTGGCCAGGCAGACAGACAGTTAAGCAAATAGAAAGATAACCGAAAAGGGAGATCGATGGGTAATGGATAAATAGATCGATAATAAAAGGATCGCTTTCGAGACATGCGGATACATGAATAAAGTTTAGCACACAGACGAACGTTCCGGAAGGCTGCGCCTTGCAACCCATAGGCCCTCTTATGCAAGTGCAAGCCAGCGTGAACAGGTCTGAGGCCGCTACCGTCAGCTCCAACGAAGATTCATCCTTAGAGACGACAATGCGGGCGTTGCTCAAAACTCGAACTGTCTCCAGGCCGAAACCCTAAGGGTCCATGTACCCAAATAGAAATACTTTGGCCTTAAAGTAGTCCCTATATAGGTACTTTGGGGCCAATGTATATCCTATTTAGGTGCATGGACCCTTAGGGAAACAGCAAGTGTTCGAGTAAGGGCGCTTACGTTCAGACCCCGGGTTGAGAGCTAGAAGAAAGCGGTGGCAACTTGCTCCTGAAAATGTGCCAGATTTGATCACAGCAAGAGCACCGAGTCATCTCAACAGGGCTGACACCTTCATCTTGCAATCGACAAGCTCTGTATTAGTGTAGAGTTGCCGGAACTCTACAACCCTGCAGCCCTAGACCCTTCCTTTCGCACCCAAAGGCTTAACCTCCGGCACCAATCGGGTTTCGTGCTTGGGGCTCAGTGTTGGATGCGGAAAGTACGGAGGCAACGCAAGACCCTGGCTATTTCGAATCATACATACATATATATATATATATATACACATGTATTTTCTTTACCTGTTTGTATTATTGATTTGCTTATTTATTTGTTTAGTGTCTATCTAATCCCATGAAAGTCCTGTTGCCACCATGACGAACATGCCTCAGGCTACAACTCAAAACGCCGACTAATTGTATGCCTTGCTTATTCTAATTTTTACTCGCTTAAACCATAAGATGTCACAAAACCATAGTCTTTAATTGCTACGGCGCCCAATAATATTGAAATAAGGAGCGAAGCAGATCCACAAGTGGAGCCCAAAACCCCAAACCAACCCCCCTATGTTCGTGGCTGGCCGCCTTACTTGCGGAGGAGACCTCAAAGCGAATCTGCCTGGCCTGGTCAAACGCCAGAAACTTCGCTCGCATTGACTTAACCCTCCAGGTACCTACTAAAAAGGGCCCTTGGGGGGTTAGGGATTGTGGGGCTTTAAAACTTTACGCAATGTGAACTTATGTGGTGTGCGCTTAGGGTTGACAAGGCTTGAAGCTTTCGTGATTGCTGCTTCTCCTTCGAGGGTGTCCTGTGCGATGTAAGGAAGGATCCGGAAAACGCTTTCAGTCTTGGGCCAAGGGCCTTTCGAGTTTACGTATTACAGCTTTGGGTACGCGTTTTCCTGAGGTGGCTCTCAAAAGGCACCAGGGAAAAAAAAAACAAAAACAACAGCGGGGGGGGGGGGGGGGGG